TATTAGGAAACAAACTTGAGGAGAATTGAATCATACCTTGTGCTGTGCCATAATATATGTGCACAAAGGGTTGAATAGGCAGCCTTAAATCTGAATAATTTTTCTGCTTCAGTACATTTTCTATATTTTCACTTTAGCTAGTTCTTCCTTCTTCTCCGGGGAAATGTCTTAAGGAGCAGCAGGCAGAAGGTGAAAAACTGAGACACCTCCTTCTGAGCTGCTGCCACCCGATCTTCACAATCCTGACCTTCCTCATGGAAGTCCTGCAAGCAGAAAGGGGGCAGGGCAGGGTAAAAAGGCTGGTGAGGAGCAGTCTGGGGCCAGATGGATGCCCCAAGCCATGCAGGTAGCACCATGAGGATGGGTGGCAGTCCAGGAGATGTTTCACAGCTCTGCGTGCTCTGGCCACTTCACCTCACGTTTCCATTACCAGCAGTTTCTGGATTTCCCGGTGTTTCTTTATAAAACACAGGCACAGCAATTGCTGCTGCCCTCCAGCCCTCTGATCCTGCACATGCTCCGACAGAGATGAATACTCTTGCAGCTCACCCAGCAGCTCAGCTGCTGTATTATTAGGTTTCTTCAAAACCCCTGAATGTCCCATCTAGACCTGGTGACTTAATATTTTTTAAATTACCTATTTGCGCCAGTGCCTCTTCATTTGATACCTTAATCCTTAATAGCAACTCACCTTTATTACCAGAAAAGAGCAAGTCAAGAGCAGATTTCTCCCAACATCCCCTGAGGTGAGAACTTATGAAATGAAATCATTTCGCTTCTCAGCTGTGTCCTCATCTTCCTTAATTGTTCCTTTTAACTCCTGGGGAGCCAGCAGACCTGTCTCATTCCTTTGCAGGCTTTCCTGTTCCTGGCAGACTTGAATCATCTATTGTTTGTTTTCTTGCCTTCTAAGTCTTGCTATTTCTTGCAGGCTTCCTGTTTCCCCTCTCTCATGCTTGTATTTTTCTGCCCCTGTTTACTGACCTCACGAATGTTGGATTTCCATTTTCTGAAGGGCCATTGTGTGGCCCAAACACCTTCCTGAACCCTGCCATTTACCTGCCTTGGCTCCTGCCATCCTCCCGAGCCTGCTGCTTAGACCCACGCAGGCAGTTTGAGCCCCGTCGGTGTTGTCAGGTCTCAGAATAGCTAAACATATGCTGAAATCTCATTAATGACAATTAAAGTTGAGCATGTGGTTAAGTACCTTTCAGAAGGTAGCTATTTTGCTATGTCACTCCTTAAAGAGCATCCATGCCAAATTTCAGAATTTTAATCTCTTTACTTTTGACTCTCGGTGCTGTCGGCCGGCTTCCTCATTTTGTTGAAATCTCTCAGTCTAAAGGTTAGCATCACTGTGATAGGATTTGATCCTCTTCTTTCCCAAGGATGATGAACATAATTACATTCCTAACAAGTGAATTAAATTACAGCACGATTTCTCTAACAATGAGCACTCTCCTCGCAACGGGCTGGAAGTGGAGCTGAGCTGATCGTGCGCATGAGCCTGCTCCACGTTTCAGAATGAGTGAGTTTTCTAAATTCTATTCCATGCATTATTGGGACTTTAAAAATTATGTCTTATTCATCTATTGATGACAGTGGCCTCTTGGGTGTAAATTGAAGTAATTACGAAGGATCATGCAAATTAATCAATTATTTTCAGATTATTACATTCAAGCAGTAGTCTTGCTCTTCGATTTAGTTAAACTCTGCCTCTGAGTCAATTTTCAAACCTACAAATTAAGCTATTTATTAGCTAAGAAGATCTGGAAAAAAAAAAAAAAAGTTACACTCATGAATTGAATAGCGGAAGGGGTCATTTTAAAAAGGCTTCAGCACACCCACCGCAATATTGAGGAACTCATGGAAGTGCCAGTCCTGACCCCAGTGTGAGTGGGATGCTTGGGATCATGTAATGCTTGGCAGTGCAACCACTGAAGCTGCAGTGGCTTGAGAAGAGCCCCAGTGCTGCTGGGCAGTGAGGGACAGAGGGGACACTGCACAGGGGGAGCACCCACAGCTCCTGCAAGCCTTGGGTGAGAACTGGGGGAGCCAGGCCAGGGGCTTCCTTTGCTGAAAGCCCACGGAGATGGTGGCACTGGGCTGGGGACAGTGCCCCTCAAGTGTCACAGCCGCTCCCAGCCCCAGCTCCTGCCTTCCCCCCTGTGGCTTTAATCCCTGCGTTTGAAACGGTCCATCCCTAATGGATTACCACAGCTCTCCCAGACTAGCCCAATTAATGCAAATACCGATGAGAGCCACCAGGAAATAAATTGGGAATTAGGAGGCGAGCTGAGGGGCTCCTCACCCACGCCCAGCGCATGCTCCTGTCCTCCACCCACCACTCAGGCAGAGGGGTTGTAGGGTGGCTGAAGGCTTTTGAGTTTTAATTTAAGTGATTCTAAACCAGCTTTGGGTTTATAGCTAATAAGACATTAGTATGCTAATTAAATTATCCATGGAGTGGTATAAAGAGGCCTTCCTGAAGTTTAATGGCTGTGTAAAAGGTAACTCTACTTGCAATGTAATTAATTCATGGAACAATAAATGTATAATTAGATTCTTATTAATATCGGAGAGGCTTTTCCTGCATTAGGAATGTGGCGGGGGGACTGGTCATTTTTGCTTTTGACGTGGGAGAAGGGAGGCGGCAGCTCCTGGCCGCAGAGCGCCTCCGTCCTCACCAGCCTTGCAGCGTCAGGCCTTCCCCGGCCCAGCTGCAGGCTGGCCTCCTGCACAAAGCTCCCACAGCCCACAGGTTTCCTCACGGCATCAAATGGGGCAAAACGACACAGAAAGACTCATTTTGAAGTGCAGCACACGAGCAATAGGACAAGGGAGCTTCCTCAGAAAGACTGGTGCCTCCCAGGGCCTGAGTGAGCAGGAAAAACATGGCCTCCTCTTGCAGAAGCAGGGCTCTGCCTAGTGTGGCTCTTCCCCAAGGCTGTGAAGTCTTGCGGGCACCGAGCGGGAAGCAAAGCCGTGCTTCCTCACAGGAAGGCAAGAGAAATAACCCCACAGCACCATCAAACCTCGAAGGAGCTGCTAGGACTGCAAATGGGAGTCTCCCCTGTGCACACACCACTGCCTGCTGCATGTCAGCCTGGGCTGGCCACCCCACCAGACACACTGCACCTGGGAGATGTCCAGATTCAAACACTGAAACACTGTTTTTTTTTGTTTTTTTCATTTTTTAAGTGAGGGGAAAGCTTCACCACCTTCTAAGCAGAGAGCCCCAGAAGACATGGGGTCTTGTGGCATGGAAATAAAAATCTTTCTGCTTGCTTCCAGCCTCACCCACCATGTCCTCAGATCTGTGTCCTCCTGGCCTGAGGTGTTCTCAGCCAACGCAGAGGTGACCAGGACACAGCTCTGGGGGTCTCCAGGTGTCCCCTGCAGTGGTGGGACAGCCGTTCTGCCCCCCATGGGTGGCTCTTCCCGACAGATTTGCCCACAGAGCCCCAGACTCTTCCCTGCAGCTGGCCTCCGGGGTTTCTGTAACACGTGTGGCCTAGATCTGGCCTGGGACATCTCTGGAAAGGTGGTGAGTGAATTTCTGAGCAGAAAGCTCAGCCAAAGCATGCTGGAGAGCTTACCAGAGGAGAGGCAGAATGCCCAGGCTGAATGCCACCTGGGAATGGCAGCAGGATTTTTTTTGTATTTAGAAGGGAAATGAGACTGCTGCGAAGACCTCTGGGGAAGAGAAGCTCCTGAGCCACCACAGGAGCACCCAGGGCTTTGCCACGCTGCTGCTGCTCCAGCCATACGTCAGTGTCCCTGGAGATCCTGCAGTGGGCTAGGAGGAGAGCAGCAGCCTCCAACCACACACAGCTGGCAAGAATGCAGGATGCAGAGCACTGTCCTCCTCCTCCAGATCATGCTGCCCAGTGCAGATCCCACTGGGTGATGCCCCTTCCCCAAAACGCCTTTGCTGCCCTGACAGTGACCTGACCATCAGCAGTGTGAGAGCAGGCTGAGCACATCCCCGGCCCTGCTTTCCATGCCCTTGCTGAGCTCCTGTAGAAAAATCTCCAGGGAAATTTGTGTATTCCAGCGAGGCCAGCATCCTGCAGAGCCTTTGCTCAGCTTCCTGCTGGTGTCCCACTGCTGAGCAGCCAAGGCTGTTTGCCCCTTGCCTCTGCACATGCACTGGCCCCTGGATGCTGCAGAGCTAGCAAATCGGTCTTTTCTTCCATTACTGAGGAACACAGAGCCCCTTGTTCTGCTCTCTCCCACCACAGTCTATCAGAGGGACGGTCGTTAGCAGTTAATTGCCTTGGTAGCTTGTTCATCACAGCTTCTTACCAGCCCTGTGACACAAAAGCTGAAAGTCACCCCTGCAGGTGGCCTCACAGCTCAGTGCCCCAGAAAGGGGAAATCTCAAGCTCCTTCCAGCCCTGCTCCTCCCTCGTGCCTCTCCGCATGCTCGGGCAGACAGCACTGGCACAGGTAGTGGGCAAAGTGGCGTGTCCTTCTAGCCAGGTGACAGCACCTGATTGCACAGCCAAAGCAGTGTCCGAGGCAGCACAGGGGGAGGAGGGCAGCAGGACATCTCCCTGTCCTTCAATTCACAGCCTGCAACTTGTTCCCCGCTCAGCAAACCCAAACAGGACACAGCACCCAGACAGGCACCCGAAATGCCTGTTATCAGTGATCGCACCAACCTCTGCAAAGTCCTGCCTGGAAAAATAATATGGACTGCAGGGGACAAAGTGCAGTCACAGGAAACAAATTTGGCTCCCATGCTGTCAGCATCCCAGCACAAGTCCAAGGCTTATCCAGGAAGGGTTTGGATAAACGTTCACAGCATGCTGACCGATCTCTGTGCACCAAAGAGGGGCTCTCACACCTAGGAAGGATTGGAGCAGGGGGATCTGTCCACATATCTGCTCAACACTGCCCCAGGACCTTGCAGAAGTGCTAGTGTGGGACAAGTTCTTGCCCTGATGCTCTTTGGGCTCACAATGGCAAGATCAGTTCCTGGCAGCTGGGAAAACTTTTTTTTTTTTTTTTCTGTCCCTGCAGATGAGTTATCTTAGTAAGGATCAGACATATTTCTTGCTTTCAGACTTCCTCCTTTACTTATTTTTATGGACTATCCCACACAAATTCTATCCAGATGTTTTTGTTTAAAATCACCACTATTACACCCCCCCCCCCCCCCCCAGCAAATCATTCCCCCATCTCAGACATCTCAGACCTGGGAGGGGAAGCAGCATTCATTTCCTTTCAATGTCTGTACACATAAAAGACTTCCCAGCTCCGGTCCAGCCCCGGCTGACGCAGTGAGCTGCAGAAATGTGCACTCAGACGTGGGGACGTGCAAGAAGAGCAGCCTGGGGACAGCAGTGGGGGAGCAACTCGCAGGCAGGATGCAGTGTGGTGGGAGAGGGGGATGTTTCCCTCCCGAAGCTGTTCCTTTGCCCCTTGAAGCCAAGGGATGGCACCTCAGTGTTGTCTATAACCATTTTTATCAGGGCAGCCCGAATCAGCACTACTTTAATTCCTGTAGTTCTGGGGTTGGTTTGTGGACTGGATTCTCACCCACCATCACACTGAGGAGCTGGGTTTGGTAACTGCCCCCACACCTTTCTGGGGTCTTTTTCACCTGGCTGAGCCCATCTCCTCCAGAAGCACAAGAAAGCTCTCATAGGTGCCACATCAAGTGCTGTGCTGAAATACAGCCCGATGAAATCTACTGCATTTTCCTTCCATGAAAAACAAACAAACAAAAACAAACAAACAAAAAAAAACAACAAAAACACAGTTATCTTCCTAAAAGGAGGCAGCAGGTTTATCTCACTTGATCTCTTTTTTTTGCAAAGCCACATTACATTTTATTCCATTTCATATTTACCTCCATGTACCTTCCCTTCCTTTCTGTTATTGTGTCCTCTGCCCTAAACCTTACCTATTATTTTAGGCCAGCACAGGTGCAAGCAGGTTGAATTTTTCTTCCTTCTAAGCAGTGAGACATTTGTTCTTCAGTCAGGTGCCACTAATTAGATTATAGCAGATTTATTATAAATACTTTCCCCCTCACCCACACACCTGTGACCTCTTTCTCCCCATCACTGCTTCTTCACAGAGCTTCTGTGTCCTTGCACAGACCGCAAAGGGAAACCTCAAACACCCTCAGGGCTCCCAACCCTCTGTAACTAACTTTAAAGGCAGGCTACTGGGGTCTCTTTTTCCATGTTTTGTTGTGATTTTCCAGCCTGTTGGTTTGGCTGCATCTCCAGGTGCAATGCTGGTCCCTCTCTGCACAGCATACGTGAGATTGTCACCACATTTCATAGCAGCCACTGTGAGATGGACTCCGATTTGGAAGAGACTTTCTTCTTTGCTCCTGCAGGGAAATTAATTTCTCTTAAATGTGCTGATGTGCGGATAATTTGCCTGTGGACCCAGCAGATTTGCAGTCAGCAGGCCGCCCCGGTCAGTGCCAGAGAGCAGAGTGTCACGCCAGACAATGTCTAACGTCTTCTGAGTGATGGGACTTTGGTCTTGGAAAGGCACCCAGTGCCATCAATCCTTCCTGAGCTCCTTCGGAGACAGTCTGTGGGAGGCTGGGAGCTGCCAGCAGACCCTGGGAGCCCTCCTCTCCACCACCCAGGTCTGATCCTGGAGTGCCCAGCCCCACAGCAAAGGGCTTCTCAACCTCCAGCCTGACCCCCTGCCTGTGGCCATCCCTCAGCAGCAGCCCATGCACAGCTCCTGCAGGACACAAAATGGGCCTGAACTTCAGCTCGAAGAGGGACAGCTGTGCTGGCCCCCGTAGGATGAAGTCCCTGGGGAGACTGGCTGCAAGTGACAGCTCTGCAGATATCCTCGCCAAAGCAAACCAGCATGTAGAGGTCCTCTGGAAAGAGCAGCTGACTCGGTCAGGAAGCCAGCTCAGCAAAGCCCTCAATGCTGCTGTTTTTGGAGTATGCAAAGTGCCTCTTTGCCTCTGTCTCTACAGATTTCCACTTACCCAGATGGTTTTTGTCTCTAGCATCATCACATCTTGTAGATGTTGCTTCCGACACCTCTGGAAGGTGACTCTCCCAGGCATACTGGGGTTTCCATGTTCACAGGGAGCTACTTCACCCAAGAAAAACTGGGAGAGCTGCAGGCCCAGCCAAGACCACCCATTCCTCCACTTGGAAAGAGCAAGCTAAGAAAAATGGAGAAACAGAAGCATGAATATAATGAGGTTACAAATTGCTCCCTGATTTTCCAGCCCCCTCACCACTGCTGCTCTTGCTCAACCTGAGCCCCTCTGGGAAACCGAACATTTACCTAAATACCAGCTCCCCAGCTTGGCAGCGTGGAGGAACGCCGAGCCATGCGTCTGCTCACGTTTGCATTTGGGCTGCACTTCTGATCACAGGCATGACTTCCAGCTAGCCTGAGGAGAAGCGTTTGTTACATGATCTTCAATTAGGAGATGTTAATTGGCAGGTTACCTCCTGACTCCTGCCCTTCGGGTACCCAGACATGCACAGCCCCGGCAGGCTGCTCTGAGGGTGCAGACAAAGTCACAGGGTGAATTAGAAGGGGGTGGAAGAGACCCACCATGCCAGAGGGTCATTACTATGGAGAAGGATCTAAATAAAGGCAGGGAAAGCTACAGGAACGTGGGATGGGACCATATCCTACCATGACCAGCTGAAGGGAGAAGCATAGTGACAGAGCAGTCCTGGCCAACAGCCATCCAAAATGAGGACCAGAACAGATACCTACATAGACACCCTTTTATTATCCAGGTACACTTCTCTAGGTGAAGGGCTTAGAGCACACCACATTGTATTTGGGGTTGCTTTGTGCTCCTGACCTTGAGAACTTGCCAACTTGAAGTTGGGAGATGCCCCTAAGAGAGCGACTTGGAGCTGAAAGAAATCACAAGGGTAGGTGGAGGGTATGGAGGAGGTAGCTGGAAACCAAAGTGGATGAGATCTTCCCCCTGGGCCTGCTCAACATCTTCTGAGAGAGGAACAAACAGCATTTAGAGCACCGTGACTACAGCAAACCCCTGTCTTTGGGCTTCAGTGAAGCCCCCCAAAATGGTCTGGGGCTAGCAGAGTTTCCAAGGTCAGTAACAACATCACTAATCTCAGTTGCTGGTTTTCACGCTCTGGGCTTCAGATTCATGCAAATCCATGTGCTACAAGCACAGAAACACAGGCAGCAAGTTCAGATTCAATACCAGAAAACTACAACACCATAGTCGGTGGATATTTGTTAAATTTTCACCAAGTACAGGAGACTGGAAGACATTGAACAGTGTGATAATTCAGTGACAGATTGGGAACATGGCAATTTACCGGAGAGATGTGTAATACTGATGGAGGACACCGGAACTGTACAAGCCATATGTGGAAATACTAATGTTTTATTACCAAAAGGTGGGAATCCTCTATTTTTGGGCTTACTGTTAGCTATCCATGAAAAGGATGGTGCATAGGCAATGACAAAGGATTGTCCCAGCTTAAGAGCTGGGATCGACTCCATCAACAACAGGGTGTCCCTGCTTGACGTGATGAACAATGAAGGGGATTTCAAGAACAAGGTAATACAGAACCTGCCAGGGAATGAGAGTTTTTTTTTCTCTTTTTCCCCAGTAATTGGACAAAAGATGTTTGTTCTGCTACAAGACCTCATCGCACCAGTCAAAGCAGGTGAAACTGAGTTTAATGTTCTCATTAAGGCATTGAGATATTTTTGTTCACCCGAGAAAAATGTCTTTTCTAATAGATTTTGAGAGTCTGCATGGGGTGGAAAGTTGTGTGAATAAAGAGCCAGCTGAAAGGTTTCCCTTTCAAGTGCTGGCATGCTCATGCCCCTCTCCAGGTCGCTTGGCACCAGGGGCATGCAGGTAGGCAGCCCACAGAGGAGGAAGCCCCAGAGCACAGAACTGCAAAGCAGCAGTGCAAACAGCAGCACGCATTTCTGGGTGGTGGCTACTTGCAGATCTACAGCACTGTCACAGAGCTGTCACAGGAAAACGCTTTGAATAGACAGGCTGCCTCTCCAGGAAAGATCAGCTTTGATCCTGTTGGGGGAATCAAGCAGCTATTGCGAAGATGCAAATTTATGAAATTACTACACCTGGCATGTTCACACGTAGGGAGTATATTAAGAAATCACAACATCTAAGAGCACTCCCAGCAGTGGGGAACCCGACCAAATTGTTACTGTGTGCTCCCTTCCTCAGAATCAGCAAGATCTGAGGGTTTTGCCGAGCTCCCAGCACGGAGAGACCACGACAACACGGAGATATGCTTTGCAGCAGGCCTCCCTAGGCCTCTCCTCTACACTCCCCCCTTCCAAGGGATTGCTGACCTCAAAAGCTGGGTTTTATTTAAATATCAAGGGGAAGGCTTTGCTTTGTAAGCAGAGAGCCCCTGAAGACAGAGCCTGATGGCAGGGATAGAAGAAAGCATTCAGCTCAGCTCTGCCCTTGCCCACCCTGTCCTCAGAGATGGGTCCTTCTGTCCTGGGCTGCTCGCAGCCAACACACAGGCACTGGGTTCCCATCCCAACCCCCAAGAGAGCCCCTTCTCCCTGCAGACCCCAGCATCTGCAGGTTTGGGGCCTCCTGGGGACCCCCACACCCATGTGCCCCCACCACAGAGGGAACCAGCACCTCCCTTGGGCACAACAGGTTGCCTTCTGCCAGGTCCTCCTGGGACATCCCGATGCACAGACATGCTGGGACCCCAAGGCTTGTCGTACCCAACGAGCTTCCCTAAAACATGGGTAGAAGATGTAACTGGGAAGCGAGCCACGCAGGGACGCTGGCACCAGTCAGAAGAGCAGCTAGGAAACAGCAGGCACGAAATGTCTGGATCCTGTGATATGTCTCGTACCTCATGTTCTCTTCTGAAGGGAAAAAAACTCTGCAGAAGGAGGAAACAGTTTTCCACTGACTACCTTAGCCCAGCCAGCATATGATGTGGCTGGCCTGGAGCCTCTTTCAGATAGGGAACAAATCTGTCCAAGGGGTTTAGGGATGTCCCCCAGCATCAGAGACACCCAAAAGCTCCATGCACACCCCAAACGGGGGCAAATCATAGCCATACTGGAGCTGCTCCAAGCCTCCCCAAAAGCCAGAACCCTTGGGGAGAGCAAGAAGCAGCAGGCAGAGGGCAAACCTCCTTTCTTGCCCCTCCACAGGCATCTTCTTGAGGGGCAACAGGTTGGGACCACCTTTTCCCAAGAGAGATGGGTGGGGATGGGCTTCTCCAGGGAGGTGACCCCATGGCAGAGCCTCTTGGCCCTGGGTCTTGCCCCACGCAGCTCCCAGGCACTTGCCCTGGCCCTGATCCCAGACAAACCTTTTTGGAGGCAGCATCCTGCTACCAGCATGCATTAACACCCGTGCCTGCAGGAGGCACGGTGGGACTGATTAAGCTGTTGCCCTGCAGAAAGCAGAGCAGTCCTGCCCTAGCCTGGCGCCGTCTCCCCAGGAACAGACTCTGCCAGTATCTTGCAAGCAGAGCGAGCGTGCTGGGAAGCGCTCGCTGCTGAACCCAGGCTGATTTTATCCGACCTTGGAACAAGGTCAGCCTGTGTTGCCCCTGCACAGAGCTATGAAAGGCAAATCCATGGTGTTCAGCAAATCTCTTCGTCTAACGGGCTCATTTCTTCTCAAGAATTCATTTCGGAGGGATTCAGTGGCATTGACAGAGGTGGCACTGGTAATTTCACTGCTCATATTCAGGATGTAGCACTTCATCCTTCACCCTACAAGTGGGTTAGCCTGTGAATTGCTCTGTGCTTCAAGTTGCAGAGCCTGAATTATTCTGGCTGCAGGACACAGGCTGCTCACCAGAGCTCAGCTAGCTTTGAGATCACATCGGGGCTCACCAGCGGCACCAGAGCTTGTAACTCCAGCACCAGCTTCAAGCTACGGTGGCTGCAAATGACAAAATCCGCAGAAAGCTTCATGTGGGTGCTGGAGCTCCTGACATAAGCTCTGAAGGAAGCCGAGGCCTCTTCCAACACAGCACAGCAGATGCACAGTGTGTCCCTGTTAAAGAAGGGGGGAAAGGAGACAAAATGCTGCTGCTTGTTTTCACTGCACAACCCCACGCAGGGCCACCTGAGGTCCTGCTTGAAGCACAAGTCCCTCACACGTTGGGTCGCACAGGGCTTGGGCAGATATGTGCATCAAGCATGGAGCAAATTCTTGGGGACCAACCTTGGTTGCTTCAGGCTCCAAGCTGGCTGAGACCTGTGCTCAGCTCTTCACCTGATGGAGACCCCACCGGGCTTGGCCAGCAGGTCCCAGGGACCTCAGGGTATACAGCTGGCATTAGCAGCACTCTTTGGACCCCCCAGATGTGCTGCCCTCAGAGAACTGGGTCTCTCACAGGAACCTCTGGGTAGAAAGTAGGAGACCTGTGGGGCAGCATCCCTGCTGGGCCACCCATCTGTCCGATCCGTGCTCGCCACTTGTTTCTTGCCATGCTCTTGTTGCTGATGATCCCTTTCCATCTACATTGGTTTACATGGGTTTGGAGTCTCGTAATCCCTCTCACCACATCTGCCCTCTGCTCCTGTCCCCAGCCAGGCTGCCGTGTTTCGGAGGGGCTGGCACAGCATCCCTCTGCTCGGTGCCCACACCCAGCTCCTGCATCGCTCTGTCACCCGTTGTCCCAGTCTGCTCAGCACAGCTCATGACCTAGAGGGGCCGGTCACGAGAAGCCCCCATACACCATACCAGCAAGGTCAGAGCTGCCAAGCACCCCAGGGTCACCCGCACCTTCACCAAGACACACACAGGGAGTCTTCCTCTGGTCCTTTGGCAGGACAGGGTGTGAGGGACATGTCATAGTGGTGGGGACACTGAGTCCCAGGACAATGAGCTCAGGTGGACCAGCTCAGAGACACTTGAGAGGAGCACTCTGCTCATGGCATGACTTCAGTGGGAAGCAGAAGGCAATAATAGATTTCCACAGGGCTGATCTAACACATGAAAAACACCTGAGTCCTGAAAATAGCTCAGGTGCCGGCCAGTCACTGGTCTTCACAGCCTGGGCAGAAAGAAGTTGGTGACCTCTCCAAGTCCACATCAGGGTGGTGGAGTTGGAGGCAGTGGCTTTGGCAGAACCCAAGTGAACAAACCCAGGGTGACCCTCATGCCATCAGATGGCTCTTTTGCTATAGGCTGTGTCCCTTGTGCCCTGGCCATGTCCCTCAGCAAGGTCCCGCTGTCACAAGGAGCGGGTGGCCTGAGGAGCTGCACGCTGGGTCCCCACACTCCGTGCCAGGCTCCCATGCTCCCTGCCCCTTGCAGACGGGAGGCAGGAGACAGAGGAAAGGCTGCTCCCCAACCACACCCCACCTCTCCGGGTGACCGCTGCACACAGCAGCCACAAGGATCGCCTAAAAATAGCAAAGCACATCTGCAGTGAGGCATTTCCTCTTCTCCCCCTTCCTCCAGCCTCCTGCTTTGTCACCTCTGATGTCCCACTAGCTCCCTCCAGCTCTTTCCTTTCCCAGCCTGCCCAGGACTGGGATGCACAAGTTTTCCCCTTGTTTTCCACCACCTTTCTCAAGGCCTCTTGGAGCCAGCACCACACACATTACCTGAACTGCATTCTTCTTGGGATTCAGGCAAGCAACAGGGCCCCTTCCTGCCCTACCAGACAATTCCTCAGGGTCTGCAACTCACAATAGCAGGGACTACAAACTCCTACCTGGTACACCGAGTGCTTTCTGCCCAAGGCTATTGCTCTCCAGGTGTTTCATTCCCATTGAATTCAGCTTTGGGGTTATTTTCCCACAAGAGAGGAACTGCATTCATCAGGGGCTGGTTTGCATTGTCGCTTCCTGCCCACAGCCCCAGTCCCTCCGGGTTCCTTTGTGTTTCACTTCTCACTGGAGTTTGCATCTCCTTCCAGCTAGGAGTTATCTGCAAACGCAATTAGTGTGCTGCTGGCTCCCCTCCTTCACATCACTTCTGCTCCGCTGTCGAATTTGCCGTCTCCCCCCTCCCCAAGACTCCTGACTCCCAAGAGACATCAGCCCTGTTGAAGGCTACACCAGAGATGAGGAGGTCAGCCCAGAAACCAAGCCACGACAATGATTTATTTCCAGTCTTCCAATTTTGGGCAGCTCCCTTTCTGCAAGCCGTGCCTGCAGGTTGCCAGGCTGCAGACCGCCTGCCACTCGCCGCTGGAGCACGGCTGCTCAGCGCCCACCTCCCCACTCCCCAGCATCCTCGCCTCAACCCCCCCTCACCATCCCTGCTGAGATTTGCCCTCAGTTCCGAGCATTAATTTGAGATGGGGCAGGGGGCAGCAAGTTACTAGAAGTGGGAAAAGCGAGCAGGAAGCCAAGAGTTAAAATCCTACATTCCCAACAGGGCCCCTAGCATAGCGCGTGATAAGCAAGGCTGGAGCCTGGAAGAGTTTGTACCAGGATTTTCGGAGCAGCTATTATTTCCAAAAATACAAAGTCATTCCTTTGAAGAAGAGGGGGAGAAAAAAAAAAAAAGAAAAGAAACAACCCGAGCGCTCTAATCTCCCTGCTGCAGAGTTTCACCTTCTGCTTTCTCAGTCCTTCTCCCAGCACGCTGCCAGCACCGAGGAAGCCGGCAGGAGGGAGTGCGTGGTGCTGGCCCGCCCAGAGGGACATCACAGCAAGGGCTGGCTCCCTGTGCCAGCACCACAAAGCCCTCGACAGCAAAAGCCTCACGGAGACGTGGTGCAAAACGCACCCAAAAGCAGCGCTTTTTGTGCTGAGCCATCCTGCGATTCCCACGTTCTGGCCAGCTTCGGGGAGCTGTGCAAAGAGGATTCAAGCCATGTGCAAGCCCTTTGCACCAGCTCAGCCTCCCACGCGGCTCCTCGCTCAGCCTTTTATTTTTTAACACTTGGAGTTGATAAGGAGGGGCGAGGACTGACTCAGCACAGCCTGCGCGCACCCCCGTGCTGCAGCATCCCCGAGCGATGCGGGGCTGGGACCGCGGCTCCCCCGGGGCTGGTCCCTGCAGCCGGTGGAGGAGAGAGGTTGGGGTGCCCCCAGCTCCAGTCCCAGCTTTGTCTCGGTGGTTACCCGGCCGTGGGCAGCCCCAAGCCCTTTCTCATAAGGACATCTAGTGGCACCACGACGGACAGCACGCTCGGCTCGGCTACGGCTTGGCCACTCGGCCCCCTCTTCGCCCAGGAGCCCCCAACCTCTCCCATCAGCTCTCACTGCCCGCCCTGCATAGTTTGGGGTAGGGGCACGGTTGGGGTGGGCAGAAGGCTGGATCCCACCATTGATGCACCACGAGCACCGGGGGACATGGCTGGTCGCTGAGATGGGGACATCTCCAGGAGCAAGCTGTGCCCAGTGGGAGCCTGAGCTCCTGCAAGAAGGTGCACAGCAACAGGACAGAGCTTAGGAGGCTCCTGAGATCCTTTGGGGGAAGGAAGTACATCCCAGGCAGCAGAAAGTCATGGTGGGATGGTGTGGGGACAGTGACAAAGCAGAGGCAGCACATACCAGAGCAACACAGGAGACCTCACCATGGCACAGGCCAGTCCAACACTCTTCTGCAGCCAGCTCCTCTGCCACCAGAGAGCTGGAGGAAGGATGAGGGGAGGAGTGGGAAAGCCCTTATCCTGCATTCCCCTAGGAAAAACTAGCACAGCCCTGAGTGGACAAGCACCTGGGCCATGGGTTTCAGCAGCAATGGCCTTGGATGCTCCCTCATTAGGTGTGCAAGGAGCTGGGACCAGAGGGGTAACTGAGCAAAGACCCATTACCCCAAGCAGAGCCCATTCTCTAGATGGACTTGTAGTTTTTCCTGAAGCATTCCACTGCAGAACATGTCCCTACAGACATGGGTGTTTATGGGAAGGCAGGACCCACCTGCAGCCAGCCCCATGCTGTTAGGGAAAACAAGTCCAGCTGTGGAAGGAGCACTGCTGCGCCCCAGGCACACGTCTGACTCTATACAGCTATTTCCTAAGCAATCCTCTTCAGAGCATAATGACCATGGATAGCTTGGACTTGAAGAGCATTTCCATTAGAGAAAGGGCATATCATCCTCTGCCTTTATTCAAATGAAAACAGTAATGAAATCACTGCTGCCTAATACAGATGCACTTGGTTAGACATGTACTTGCTTTTTATTTTGTTTTTTTGCTTTTCTGTTTTGTGGTCAACATTTATGCATTGCTGTCAGAAAAATTGCTTTAATTTTCCATTCTGTTTCAACACCCTTTGCTAAAAACAAAAAGTATTATCCACCGAAGAACTGTGAATTGACTCCATCTAATATCTTAGGAGCAGAGCTAACACCAAATGGCATTCACTTACATTTTTAATGTACCGATGAAGTCATAGAAATCACTAACTTAGAGGCTGGCTCATCAATTTTTTCTTGCTAAAGCATATCCCGTATCTGCTACTCTGACTCTTTCTCCTCTAGAGAACCTAGCTGTCACTTCTTTAATGGTTTTCATTGGCTAGTATGAACATTTTAAGGTTTAGCATGAGTGATGTGGATGAATGAATTTCTAGACTTCATTTGGCTTTTCATCTATAGTGTCAGAATGAGTCTGATCTGCCAGTGTTTGTTTTCTTCCTTTCACCGTCTCCTAACACTCAGATCTTACATATGCGTGTTTGATTTTAATGAGGTTACAGCCTACATGCAGCCTCCTGGACCAACGCTGCTGCCCTTCCCTAAGGGCAACCTCTGCCAGGCTGTTACGATGTGCTAGAAGCAGCAGCAACAACCCCAGAACACAATTTCTAGAGATTTCTCAGTTGCATCCCCCAACACACCCCTCTACATACTCAGTAGTCATTCAGCACAGGTTTAAATCTGTTACACTAAACCACTACTGCAGGCTCTGTAAGTTATTCTGTACAACAGAGTACAGAATCCCCTCCCTGGACAACACTACAGTAAAACATTTGCTTGGCTAAATTGTTTGGGCAACCCTTGCTCTTGAGGAAATTTGTTGTTGTGCCTTGGGGGATGACTCACTGGAGGAAGGAGCTGTCTGAGAGCCCCTTGCTCCAGGAGGCAGCTGAGGATTTGCTCTGAGCAGAGCCTCTGGGGCTGGTGGGTGGACGAACAATTCAGCTCAGGAGCTCTCCTTCAACAAAATAATGAATTTGTCTCCAAACAGCTCTTCGCTTCACTCAAAATATTCCAATTTTCAACACTAAAATACGAGAAAAATGGTCGGATGAAAAGCTGCCACGCACCAGCAATACCCATCTCCAGCTACAACCAGCTCCTGTGTGAGCTGCATCACATGCTGCCCACCTGCTGGCCTGGCAGGCCGATGGTCCCCAGGGTCTGGCCATGCCAGTAAGTCCAGAGAAACGTTACAAACAAGAGTCAAGGCACTCCAAGTTCCTCGTCTTTTCTCCCTGTCCTGAAATGCTCTGGCTTAGTGAGGTGTGGGGACAAGCGGCCACTTGGTGCTGGGTGGAGGAACACATCTCTGAACCCTCTGAGCCCCTTGGCATGCTGTTAACACACACAGCTTTGAGAGCCCAGGTACATCACCTTGGGGTGATGCCTGAGTATTTGTAAGGTGACCCTAGTTATTTCTAATCGGTGATTTGGGTCACTAGGGATGCATGACAGGGGCATTCTGCTTGCATTGGCAAGATCTCTTCTAGGCATCCCAAAAGCTCTTTTCATTTCTGCAGGTGCATTGACCACACATGTCATGAGATTACTGCCACGAGCACAGACATCCTCACTTCTACAGCCAGCAGGCTTCTCCTTCTGAAGGAGATTTTAATTTCTGGGTGTGTTATTCAGTGACACCAGCCATTACAGTGGGCTTTGCAGTCTAGCAGGAAGCACTGCACCCTGCATGTTCAGCACCCCATAGCACATGCTGAACACCACCAACCTTAAGAGATTTATTTACAACCACAAGAGGAATAGTGCTGCTGTGTGTGGACATACCTGCACAACTACACAACCTGCTCTCAGAAAATGTGCTTTCCTACTCGGTCTTGCTTACCAGGATGTACCTACTCTCAGGGAGCAGCAAGGGACAGCTTAGGAAGGCGGAACAGGAGCTAAGGGTGACCCCAGCAGGAGCAGCATCCTCACCAGCAGGAGCAGTCCCACAGCATCTGAATACAGCAAGCAGAGCCAGGTTCTGGTAACCGGGTCCAACAGCAGTCCCAGTCATAGCCAAAAATGAACTGAGTCCAGGGCCCAGTCAGGAGCAGCAGGAGCCAGGAAGGAGTGAGGTCCAGCAAAGGTCCAAAGCCCCTCCAGGAGGCAGGGCCAGAAGACCTGGATATGGACTCACCACCAACACAGCTCAGGAAAGGAAGGAAGACCTGAGGCTAATCTTAAATATGTGGGGGTGTGGGCCCAGGTGAGGCTGGTTGGGGCCATTAAGGTCTATTGGTGTCATCAGGGGCCTGACACCTACCAAAACTAATGGTTCTTTGTGACATCATTACCAGTGCAATTGGATCTCTTCTGATAATATGTTTTTTTCTTAAGAGATTTCTTGTAACGACGAACTTCTGGAGCAACTTCAGGTTGAAGACACACCTTTGGCAACCCAAGACAGTATCATGCTGAGTCCAGTGACAAAGTCAGAGGAGAAGGCCAACAGCCTTGATGCCAAAACCACCAGTATCTCAAACCAGGACACGTACTCTGGCAACTCAAGGAAACTACTGGTAAAACTCTGTGAGATGCACACCCAGCTGCAAACAGAAACCCACCAGCACCCCTGAGTGCCACCAGGGAAGGAAGCCTGCATCCTTCAGTGCAGGGCTGCCAGGATGGGAAGGACATGCCCTGAGCTCCAGGCACATCCCTACCATGAGGCCAGGCAACTGGTCTGGTCCTGAGCAAGCAGAGCAGTGCACGTAGACACAGTGGAAGGTATTTCCCCCTCTTCCACGTGGATGAGTGCTGTTGAGCCTATATCTTGTGTATAGATGAGAGCAAAGCTCTTCAATGATCATCTAAAGAAGGATTCAGCACATCCCTAGGTGAGGAGTTTCCGAAGTTAATTACCTTCCCTGTTAAATATTTGTGTCTTAATACCAATTTGATTTTTTTCTGACTTCAGCTCCACCTGTCAGCCACTGAGCCTTGCCTTTGTGTGCTGGATGAAAGGACCCTCTGCTATCAGAAATCTCCTCCCTGTAAGTACTTAGACACCACGATCAAGTCACCTCTCAACTTGTTCTCTGATGAGCTAAATAGGTTGAACTCCTTAAGCCTATCATCACACAGCAGGTTTTTCAGACTTTTTTTCATTCTTGCAGCTCTTCTCTGAGCTCTCTCTAATTTTTTTTTAATCCACAATGAAAGTGTGGATGCCACAATTTGATGCAATATTCAGTAATGCTCTCCCTACATTTTTGATCCCTTTTCCATCCTAAGAGCCCCTCGAAATACGTAACTGTCACATGCATCCACATTAATTATAAATTGGACTGGTGTCCTGCTGATCTGGCTTCCTAAGCCCCCTACTGCACCACTGGTTTTGCTGAAACACTCCCCAAATCCCCACACACTGAGGATATTTTTACTGCGAGGACTGCAGCACCGTGCTTTGCGTTCCTAAAAGGCACACGGTTTGTTTTCACCCCACCTACCAAACCAGCTCAAAACTTAATTTGTTTGTTGGGCCGCTGATTTGCTGCCACTGTTATCGTTCCACATTTGAATGTAGATATAACTTGTGGATTAATAACTCTCCCACTGCAGTGAGTTAGTCCTTGGCCTCCACGTGTATCCTCCCCAGCCCTGGTAAGTCCATGGCTTGTACACGGAAATGTAAAGCCACTTGAAACCGCAGCCAGCACCACCAGGGGCTAGCCAGGTGATGATGGAGATCCTCTTTACTGGGAAATGCAGCAGTTAAATCACTTCTCCCAGCACTGCTATTCACACCCAGTCAAATGAGAGCGCATGGCTATTGCTGCTCCTGTGGCCCAGTATGAGATCATGCAACCTTGCACTTCAGCCCTAAACAGTGTCAAAAAAAAAGGAAAACAGACAGTTTTCAAGACTTTTCCAGCTGCTTTCTTTCTCCTCAGTTCCCCTCCCAGCACAGCACTATCTAGGACACGCAACCAGTGCATGAAATCACTCCTTCCGTCTCCCTTCCAAGGCCACTGTTGCTGGGCCAAGTCAACGCGGAGGAGACGACAGCTTTGCTGAAAGTAATTAGCGGGGCTGCCTTTGGTCCCGTTGTGCCATGTACGTGCACGCTGCAGCTCCAGGTGTCCTGGGGGACCAGGAGCAAGCAGCGGCTGTGGCAGGTCCGCCTGGGCTGGAGTGCCCGAGGATGAGCCAGGCTGGGAGGATGCACAACTAAAGAATTAACAGGAACTACGTCATTAGATGGATTCCCAACAGGGATGGCAGAAAGTGTGCTCGGTTTGTGCGTCTCGGTGACCCACTTCCAAACCTTCCTATTCCCTAAATGTAATCTCCTTCAATTTATAAGCACTCTGCCTCTTCTCTGGCATTCAGAAGCCATTATCACTGTGTCTACGCCAAGCCCTCACAGCTGACTTTAGATGCCACTTCTTTTTACTGCAACAACAATAACCTGTGTACGTGGCAGGTCAGCCAGCCAACCAGCTGTGTTGCCTGCAGAAATGAGAGATTTAGCAGGGCAGCCATTTCCTGAAATGCAGCAGGAAAAGAAAAAAGAAAAAAAAAAAAAAAAAGAGAGAAGAAAGAAAAAAAAAAACAACAACACATCGTTCAGAATCACGTTGATAACAAAAGTTATCTGAAATCCCAGGCCAACAAGTCCATTCCCTGCCAGTGATAAAGGCCTGGGAATTCCCATGGGGTGGATGGATGGACCTCCCACCAAATGCATGTACCAAGAGGTAGAGATTTTGGAAGGAAATGTGGAGATTGGCATGAGTAGTGTTTGAAGAGGAGAGCTGAGATTTGGAGGGACCAGAGGGAATGGCAGAAGAGGGACACGGGGATGGCAGACCCCACATGAGCAGGTCACTGGGACCCCAGCACAAAAAAAAGGGGGGCAGATTAAAAGCAGGGCCAGGCAGGAGCTATTGCAGAACAACAGCAAGAGAATAAAGACAAGGACTGAAGTTGTAGGATACCCAGGTAGGCAGGCAAGAGGCAGGGAATAAATCGGCACTGACATCCAGTGACTCACAGAAGTGGCACAGGGTGGGCACACGGAAAGGTCAGCATCTCTGCCAGCACCTGAGGGGTACCAGAGGCTCACGCAGAACCCACATGTCCCGTGCTAGGAAGAAGCCAGAAGGCAGGAAGAGGATTTCACAGCCAGCAGCTCTCACGGCTCTTCTGTCACGGCAAGTACCGTGGATAGATTACGTGGCTGCACACGTCCTGGCACTTGTGAATATGTGGGCATAAGAGAATGCCTGTGAGGGAAATCACTTTCATTTTAAAATAAAATCTTCATCTCCTGTATGGACTTGTGTTGAGCTTCGCTACATTAGCTGAGCTTTGTTGCTACGACGTTGTGGCAGAGATGCTTTGGATTCCAGATGTTTTGAATTTTCTGTCTATTTGTAATAATAATGATAACAATCATACAGAACAATATAATTCTTACTTTTTTTTTTTTTTTTACACAAATTGAAATGTTTCCCAAATGTTTTGTGAATGTATTGTAGTTATCATTATGTACACTGAAGGAGCGGATACATACTGTCCTGGCTTATTCCTGCGGGGCACCCACTCCTCTGGAAAATTATCTTCCCTGTCTAAGAGAGTTTCCAATTGCAAAAATGATGATGGCACTGATGATTATGATAACTATTTCTCCCAGGAAAAAGAAATATGATATAAAAACATGCTGAAGTACAGTCAGATCTGAGAGTGATTCAGTAATAATTTAAATTAAAAATATTAAGGACATATGTTGTCATTACCCAAACACTCACATATTGCAGCCGTACCATGCAATAATCAATTCCAACATTCAATTGAAGTAGAATTAATTGATTATTTATTCTCTGGCTGCTGATTAGGATACAATTGTTCTAACAGATGTGCCAGCTCCTTTGAGATTTAGGCTTGTGGTGATCCTTTACCCTTGAAGCACTAGGAGCCGGCCAGCTAGCACATACAGGGTAGGGTTTCTAGATGGTCCCATGAGCAGGGCAGGGCCAGGCAGTCACTGCAAGACCTCACCAGCTCAAACCATTTGTCTTCCCTACCTGAGACCCTCTCTAGGCCCACCGTGCCGTAACCGTGCCCGTGGAGCAGACCATCCTGAAAAGCTGGTTTTACTTGCAGCAAATTGTAGCTTCGGCCTCCTTAATAACATAGGCATCAGTCATTTTCTGAAAGTGGAGCTCCTTATGGCTGTTTCCCAATAAAAATAGGTTCCTTGGTCTCAGACGAAAATAAAAATTTGCAGTAATGAAGACCAGCCAAAGAAAATGACCATTACTTATTTTATTTCGTTCTTAACTTTTAAATCCAAGCATGATTTTGGAGGGTTTGTATTATAGGAACTTTGAAGCAGCTGTATTATTCTCCGGTGAGGGCACAAGGCACATGAAACACCCCATACATAATGCCAGACATGTTAGCAGACGTGCCATTAAATACCATTAATCGCATGCCACTTTTCTTGTACAAGGTCAGAAACCTTTTCTGCGTTCAAAAAGTAAGTGCCGCGAGTTTGGGTGGGATGAAATGCATTCTTCGTGGGCATGTGTCCAATTGAGGACAATAGCAACGTGCTGCTGCCTCCCTCTACACGGCAGCTCCTAGACGCCACGCGATCACACAGGTAACATAATAAGAGGCTACAAGTTACAGCAGGGCCATTATCCCGCTCCATAGCCATGTTCTGCAGCCACTGCGAGCAGCACAAAGGCAATCCAGCACAGAGGTATGGGCTATTTCGCTGGTATTTATTTTTTTTCTCATTAGTGCTAAAGAGTCAGATGTGTCCCTCGTACGTACTCCAGCACACAGCAGTGCTTTCCGTTACGATAATGCCATTAACCCGTTGTGAGACTGCCTGCCTCCAAAACCTCCTTCCCAAACTAAAAGTGCCCAAAACAGGAGCAAGTTTTCTTCACCGCTGCTTGTGAGACCTGCTTGTTTTCAGCCGACAAATGCAGGAGCCAGAGAAATGCAAGGTTTGCATGAAGGGGTTTGTGATCCCCAGCATTTCATCTGCTTTATCATCAAGGATTATAGGTCAGAGACTGGGCTCCAAATGTGTGTTACCTACTGCTTGGCATGCATTAGTCATCCTTCCCTCTCGAAATCACTGTGAAAGGCGCCCGATGAGAGGGCATGAATAGCAAATAG